CTACAGTAATTATTCGTAGAAGTCTAATGAAGGTAAGCCTATCCAATAGTGACGTTAAAGGGTCGAAACCAGGACATAACTCCGACTTTAGATTGACAATGATTGAAAAATGTTAAATACAGGCACAATGTATACATCCTATGTACAGAGTCCAGTTAGAATATGTAATTATGTATCAAATTGATATATTATTATTACTTTACTATTATTATTATTATTATCATATACATACATACATACAAACAAATATATATTTGTATATTTTCTTATAAGTCATATAATTCAGCTTGTCAGACGGTCTTTAAGGCACAATGCTACACGACCTTCGTTAGACCCACTCTTAAATATGCCTCTGCCGCTTTGGCTCCTCACACACAAGCCAATATCAATATACCTGTATATATACAGTATACACTTTTGTATTAACAAAATAACATTATTTAATTCAAGATTTGAAAAGGATGACATTTATCAATGATGTTTTAAGAATTCCGCATGAAGGGCGATGCAAAAATGGATCCGTATTTGATGGAATCGAGGCATTTTGTATGGTTTTTTTTATCGTTTTGCGTATCATGTCGATATGCAGACATGGTTCCAAACTTCGGTCGGTCATAACAGAGTTGTTTTAGGCAACGTGCAAAATCGTGGACATCATTATTTACGACAATTGTAGCCATCTTTTGGAAACTCTCCAACAGCCATGACTTGCTCCAGATAAGCTTCAAGAATTTTGTAATGGGACCGTTCTACCCGTTTGTAGACCTGTACAGTCGCAAAGAATTATGTAAAATGGGCATAAAAGAATTCATGGTAATAAATTTCAGTCTGTTGTCGCCCCGAATGGATTAATCGCAAACCTCGGCTCTTCGAATTATATTTGTAGCTAAAAATATTTGAATTGAGCATCTCTTTCACTAAATCATTGTCCATTTCTTCATCCCATCTAAATAGGAAAAAAATAAATTTAAATTCATTGAAAATTATTATAAATGGCATTTGTTGATAAAGTTTACTCAAGAATCAAGAATAAAGTTCCATTATTGCATTAATCAACATGACATTACATACATTTGATGTGAGGTGCTTAGTACTTGAGGTCATCATAATAGTACTCATTTTTAAGAGATACATTAAGTCCTCATTTTATTAGTAGAAAAAAAGAAATAAAAAATTAAGATGTTTTTTATGGTGCAAAGTAACAAAAACTTTAATAGGTTTGAGTTAAATATTGGCAGTGGTATTGAAGGAATATATACAGTAATATTTGTTCATTTACATTGACATATCACTAATACCTTTTGATCTTTTTTGTTGCTGATTCTTAATCTGCTGATGTGGTCAATGGTGCTACTGAAATTAATAAAATTATACATTGATTGAAGTATTATTTGTATTTATTATTTTATATTATTATTTAATATTATTATTTAATATTATTATTATTATTAACAGTGTTATTGATGTTGTTTTTGTTGTTATTATTATTATTAATAATAATATTCGGTTACTTTATTATTTTTGTTATTAATTATTATTGATATTATGAATTTTCACTATTATTATTACTATTATCTATTTGGGTTTATTACAAACAAGTAGTTTTGCCTGTCATGGTGACTGTATTCTAAGACAAGATCAATAAGGTTGGAAAACTTACCAGTACAAATCAGCTTATCTTGAAAACCTACAACAATGGGTATTGCTCCTGGTGTTTGTTGTCCATCTGAAACAGATACAGTAAGCGTGTACAAAACTGGTAAAAAAGACAGACTCAAAATGTGTGTTGTAAAATTGCATGATGGTATTACAGTATTAACAAAAAAAGAGAAAGAAAAAGAATTCTCTACCCAAAACACACCCAAAAAACGAACATACCTAGGCCTCAGGCCTATATAAAATATCTAGACCTAAATAAAACGGCACATTACTAAAATCCAATATAACAAAAAATTGGTATAGTAATATAGGCCTTAACTTACATGCAAAAAGCTGTTGGATAGAGTTGATTCCGGAACTTGCATTTGTAGTGGGTAGAGTACTATTGAACGTTAATAATCTGAAAAAGTAAAGTCAATGAATATTTACTAACTTGGGTACAGTATGTCATTTATTTTTTAGGCCCTAGCCTAGCCTTAGGCCATGCCTAATTATAGGAATAATAAATAGCCCGATGCATCTGCTTTTTCGTATCTAATTTATTTTTATATTTTTTCTTCAATCCATATATTCTTGTAGGGCTTTATGCCTTTATGGTAGTAGTACAGTAGTAGTAGTA